GCAATTTATAGCGTATTTTTACGCTATTTTTTCGTAATATTGCGTAATATATTTCGTAATATTACATTATATATTGCGCAATATTGCGCAATTTTCTGTGCAATATTATGTCCAGACCGTAATTATTGCGCAATATTTCGGGGGTGTAATAACTTGCGTAAGTTTACGTTAGTATATTTCGCTGATGTTTGTTGTGAAGCTATATTTTCATATAAAATATTTTTTTCAACTTATAATTACTTTTGAATATTTCTTTACCCAGAGGTTCTAATTTAACTTCTCTAGAGTAGCATCATATTTATAAATAAACACTTTATATAATTGTATTTTATTGAGTTTGTTTGAATTTAAGAAGTAAACAATGTCGATTATTTGGAAGAGATAAGCCAAACTTCTACTTTTTGTTAAAAAATTTTAGAAAACCAACAAGAAGACAAGAGAAAGTAAAAAAAAAGAATCACTTAACCAAGTAAAAGAGGTATAGTTTAAGAAAACCATGTTATTTTGTTGTTTTTTAGTATTTTTATAAAAGTATAACCTAAGAGTTTCATTGAAGAAAAAAAGCTTTGTCACCTAACTTTACTAAAATTTTTTATACAAAAACACTTTTTGTTAATTATCTTGTATAATAATGCTCTTAGCTTGTATGCCAAATATCACTTTAGAGAAGTCCTGCAAGCAAAAAATATTGATCTCTAAACAAACTACTATGTTAGGCTATAACTTACTAACAAAATTTGGCTTTTTTTTTGAATGAGAAATTTTGGTTCAAGTAATTATCAAAAGAGTTCTCTTTAATTTTTGAATATAATAAAATATTAGAATTATTAGACAAGTAATTTTTATTACTATTTTAGTTTTACTAAAAAATATTTAATTAAAATTTATTTTTATTAAAAAATTATTTGTGCAGCTAATTTGACTATCAATTAATTATTATTTATTAATTGTTTAAGTTTGTATCTTAGTAATTATTATAGGTTTTATTACAAAAAATACTTTATATATTTGTACAAATACAGTATAACTTTTTTTAATATAAATAAACTAAATATATTACATAGTACTAAATAAATTATATATAATAGTATATATTAATTAATTATTATTTAAGTAACTAATATACATATTAACAAGAATTTTAACTATCTTATACTATAATACAGTATATATATTTGTAAACATATTTGTCTGGATATAAATATCTAATTATTTTAGCTAAATATAGTATATTTTTTAACTCAAAAAATTATATGCCTTGTTTATAAATTTTATTTATTTGTGTAAATAATACAAACCAAAAAAAAAATCAAATTTTGTAAATAACTAAGTACAGTATATAAAAATAAAAGTTTAGAATTGGGGTTGTAAGCTATAGTAATAAATTAGAGTTTCTTATATATAAAATTTTTTTATCAAGATCAATTTAAATACTTTATGTCTAGATTTTTTTGGGGCACAGGCAGTGCCCGGTCTGCAGAACTCTAGTAAAAATTCTAATTTTTCTTACGTTTATAATTAGTAATCATTGTAATACGTATAAAATTATGTACATATAATCACGAACCAAGCATAACCACCCAAATCAGTTACGTACGGAGTTTAAATCATCTATCTGTTACCGATATAGTTAATGCAATGTGACTAATTATTTTATTTTTAAATAGCATCTTCATTGACATAATAAAACAAAATTTTTTTTACAAGAATAAAATTCTTTCGCAAATCTAAAATAGAAATTAATACCTATTATTGTACAGTTTCTTATGATAATAATGTCCGATTTTTTTCCATATTTTGCAGTTATGAAATTAAATCGTCAGAAACTGCAGCAATAATACCGATATCGAACAGATTAGCCTTAACTATCATGAATATTTTTTTGGTCGCATACTAGATATAAAATTTGATTGGCCGAGAATCGGCCAATCAAACTATGCGACTAAAAAAATATTCATGATAGTTAAAATCATCTGAACAATATTATCTATATAACCATCTGCTGGTTTATTTTACGTAAATAAGGCCTTTTACTTGATAAGTCTCGTAAACTTCCCGAATGGCTGCAAAATATTGAATGAATTTTGTACCACTTCAAAAAATGATGGAAGGCATAAAAAAATTTGGAGCAAGCAAAAAATATTCTAAAAACATGGAGTGAACGTAATAAACACCTTTTATTGGCAATAAATTAAAATAATTGCGAAATATGAACCATAGTTTAAATTATAATGATTTGAACAGTAAATTTATAATTTCATTATTTTTTTTAATGTCGAATTTTTAATTATATAAATCTTAATTTCAAATTTTATTTATATAAATCTATCGAATAGTATCTCAAATAAAATAACCCGGATTTAATTTTCAAACTCTATTACGTAACTGATTTGAGTGGTAATGCTAGGTGGATTTACATACTGTATAATTAGAGGAGTTCTGTTTAAAAAAATTTTAATTAATTGGTTGTACAAGATACGTATTACGCAGATTTGCAAAATAAAAATAAATTTTTGTAAATTTTTATTGCTGATCCAAAAACTCGGTTAACTAATCCAGTAATCTATTACTATAAATTTTGGTGACTAAGTTATATGTAATGAAGATGCCAAACAAATTCTTAACGTTTCATCTATGACAAAACTATTACATATTTGTTGTGACCACGTGAATATTGAAACCACTATCGAAAAGCCAATAAAAATTAAATCTCCAGAATTCTTTTTTTCTTTAGTCGGAAAAATGTGAATGTGCAGATACTAAACTTTGGCCAGAATTCATAGAAATAATCGCTTTGATCAGTCCCGACTTATATAATCATGGCTGATTCCTGCATGTTTTTAAAAAAAAATTAAGTTCGTTGATCTGCGACATTTAGTCTCACGTGATTAAATGAATTAGTTCCACATTTGGTGATTTTTTTATGCAGTATCGGTATATAAATCGAGGCGTAATCTCTTCTCATTCTCTACCTACAACTAAGCACTTATCTTGTTCCACATAATTCACACTATTCACACAAGAAAAATAAAGTTGCGATTTACTGAAAGAAATGGTTCCACAGAAAACAGTTAAAATACAAGTAACAAACCCATCTAGATCAAATACTGATATTTCAATCGAACCATCTCAGCAACCCCAACAGTCCCAAATATTAGAACAAGCTTCGCCACAATTTACCGAAAAACCGTATCCGTCAACTTCATATCCATATCGCATAAAAAAAATAAAAAAATTCTGCAAAAAAACTTGCAACTGTTCTCGCCTAGTTCTCTGTTTCCTTTTTCTTCTAATAGTTGCCACTATCATAATTATAGTCCTTCTATTACGAAAAAACCCTTTCATATTTGTGCGCCCACATTGTAAATCCCAATTCGGCGATCCTTCCTTAAACGCCACTTTTGACATTTTAGGGCAACTCGAAACAGGCCTGCCTTCCGACACCGATCCTGTTGAATTGTATTCATACGTTGGTTCTCTAAGTTGCATAGGAAGATATCAATTCACCGAACCAATTTTGTTAAATTTAGGGTACTACAATCCATTACCTGGTGATGACTATTACAAAAATGGGTCAGATAAAAATTTGTGGAAGGGCACGTGGACCGGAAAAAATGGATGTTACAGTTACCAAGATTTTTTAAAAAACAAACAGGACGTTCAGGAACACGCTATTAGAGAAGCATTTCAACTAAATCTTGCAGTTATCAATCAAACACTTAATTCAAACTTCTCGTTTTTGGAACAACCTTTCAAATTTACAGGTGGATGCAATGTTCCAATAAATGGAGAAGTAGTTACGAATGTTACAATGGCCGGTATATTGGCATCTGCGCACTTAATCGATGCAGTGAAGGTCGCAAATGCTTTTTTAAATGCAACGGCACAATGTGATGATATTAAAAAAGAGAGTATAACGATGTTCTTATCGGACTTTAATGAATGTGATTTCAGTAAAGAAAATATTGATGCGGCAGTTTCTGCTTTTGATAAATAAATATTAAATTAGACTATGCCACTATATCATCGTACCGTGTTTTTCAACTAAACCAGAAGATCCAATCTTGCTGATCGCCACAATCGGACTTCGTACGTACTTTGTGCGTTTCATATTGATTAAATATTGTCAATCCATAATCAGCCACGTCAAAACATTATAACCACTTGTTAATTATTTGATAATTAAACTTAATTAAAACTCAGGATAATGTGTACCGTTGATATGTAGGGATAACAAAAAACATTTTCACCGGTTTAAAACATGTTATGTTTATCTAAATTTACGTAACTTCACTTTTTTTTTTACCTCCCCTATTTATATATCACAGTTGTTTAATGTTCTTTTAATTTTTTGACGTACAAGATCTAATATTTATTAAAATTTAAATTTCATAATGATGCGAAGTTCATTAGAGGTATGCAAAATTTTAGTCAAATTATTATTCTTCGGTATTTATATAGAGCTTAAATTTCACATCGGCAAATATTTTCTTTTTCAACGGAACTTTATTCGAACAAATCAATTCGAAAGTTAAAGGTTAAATTAAATTCTTCATCAAAATCATGAAATTCAATTCAAATATTTGAATTATTTGATTTGATCAATTATTTAAATCAAAATTTGTATGCAAAATTACAAATGTTTTGATATGGTTTTTCAATCAAAACTTAGTGTTCATTAAGAGAAATTTGTTAAAATTTGAAATTTTGCTATAGAAACTTGCAAATTTTCAAGTTCAAATAATCGATCAAGTCAAATAATTAAACCATTTGAATTGAAATTCAACTTTGATTTGATTTTGAGAAACACAACCTCCATCAGCCTAGTAAAGGAGGTTTTATATGACAAATGAAAATATCGATCCATTTTCAATTAAAAAAAAACTAGATAGTAAAACCAGAATATTTAACCAGAGATCAGAATCAAAACTAAAAGAGGTTAGTTTTTTCACTCGACCAAATAATTAGAACATATGATACATATGGGTCGTTTACTAGGAAAATCACTGTCTGAAAGCAAGTATTAAATGGTGATTTTCCTAGCAAACAACCCATATAAAGGAGGACCCGGAAAGTGAAAATAAATACGGGCCAAAATTAAAAATATTTACATATAAGGCCTAAAATATTACATATAAAGGCCTAAATCTATTGGTGGCTGAAGAAAACGGATCGCAGGCTTATAACGATAGTAAAATCGCGATTATAGGATTATCGATTGTTTTATTATAGACATTTAGAGTTATCTATATACTGATGTTTAGATAAAAGGATAAACGAAGTGCTAGTTATAATAATTTTCGCTTAAATATTGCATAAAAATAGCGTTAAACTGGCACAATTATTAATAAGGCGAAATTTCAACAGAGTAGCTCTCTAAAGCTGAACGGACATGCCAATTCGCAATGTTTTACTTGACATCATAGTGGTTTGTTATAAAAATAAGCAATTTCATACAAAATTTATTAAATTTAAAAATTTTTTCTTTTCTCGTTTATAATTACTAATTTACAATCGATCGTTACATTTTTATGCGATGCTTACGTTTCTTATAACGATCAAGCCACAGGTGTGAATAGCGTCGCGGTTATTTTGGGCCTTTATATGTAATATTTTTTTAAAAATTAGGCCATTATTTTTAATTTGGGCCCTTATTTGTAAATTCCCCTAAAAACTATCTAAAAAAGATTCCAATATTTATATAAATATAATGGAAATAGCAAATTATTGTAGTAATAGGATTCCTAAAAAATATTATATTATTCAGAACTTTTAAAATCTATTTTAAAACTGTTTAGTTTTGATGGATAATATACATATTATGGCCAAATAAATTATGCGCTTAGATTGACATTTATTTTTGGTAATTGATTTCCTTCAAGTTAGCTACTTTTGGCAATTTTGGGTTTCCGAATTCCCGATTGTAAGATACGTACTCTATATCCAGGGTTGGCTGAATAAATTGTCAATGGATATTGTCCATTGGGCTAGTCGACATTGTCCATTGGCATTTGCTAAGCCATATTTTGGTCCATTGGCCAACCTGGTCTATATCGATATCTAAGGGAGCGATGGGTATTCTGGCGCAGGGGTATTGTGGCGCACTTAGGTTTCTCAGCTATATCTCGTTAAGCAGCACTCAGAATCAAATTATATTAGACCATTCGTCTCATTGAGACGATTCAAATAATATAAAAGTCGCATGGTTCTAATTACTGAACTACAAAATAAATGAAGGTCAAATATTATGGTCACGTGTTCAATTTTTCTTTTAATTTTCCTCATTCGGACAATATCTGGAGGGAGGATGCAGTACGTAATACGTGCGCCCCAACCTGAAAAAACAGCAGTTTTTTAATAGATTTTAAAAGTTTAAATTTCGAAGTTTTTTTTTAACCCGACTTTTTTTTTTTTTAACATTCGATAGTAAATAGAAAGTTATTTATTTCGCTAAATTTTGTAAAATAAACATGCTTTTCAAGAGCAGTGCTAGAGAAATAGCGCTCAAATTTTTTCGCTTGTCGAACAGCTGATGAATATATATGTGATGACAGTAAATGGTTTATAGAATTAAATGCTTGAGCGTATTCTTTTTATTTTTTATAATCCTCTCTACGCCTCCTAAAAACCTAATAATAAAATTTTTTATTCGACCATCTGTCGAAACTTCAACTTCAGTTTCACTGGCTTCACCTCTTAATGATTTACCAATTAAATTTTTGTTGCAACAGTAATGTCGTTAGCGAAAATTGCTTTGTGAAACAAGTAAATTTTTTAAAAAATTCTTTTATAGGCTACCTATAGTAATTCTGCATTTGCTTTCGCACTAAAAGTATCATTGGTAATACGAAAATATTTTTTTCGAAAAAAAGTTATAACCTTCGTTGTCCGTTAAATATAGAAAAACATCAGCCAAATCCTTCAATTTTTGGGTCATTTTTACTGAAAATTTATTAAATTTAGTGAACGAAAAACGAAAAGTATTATTCATTGTATTTTGATTAAAGGTTAAGATGGGTTGCATTTATTACGTTTATATCAAGATATTGATTATTTGCTTTAAAAGTTTCGAGCATTAAAAATAAATTATCTATTTTTTTAGATCGGATTGAAATTTGTTGAGAATTCATTGTTTATCATGTAAAAAATGCAAAAGTAATACTTGAGCGACCTTTATTAATGGTAAATTTTTTAAAAAAAGATGGGTTGTAGCTCGATAACCTGTTCGTCGAAATGGCAGCTCGCTTGGTTAAATTATTCAATTTCTGACTATTAAAAATTTGCCTCCGATCTATTGAGTAAGGTACTTGAGAACACTCTAATTAAAAAATTTACCTCTGATTCATTGAGTGAGGTGCTTGAGAGCATTCAAAGTCAGTGATTTCTGCATGATTGGTTATACGTAAAAATTTCTTTTGCATTACATCAACTCAGTACAGTAATATTATTATGTATATTCGATATGCTTGGTATGGTTAGTCTGTACGAAAATTTATGGAAGAACACTCTTGTCAACCAATAAACCTTAACAAGAAAAATATTAAAGAAAAACTCCCAGCGCATGAGCAGGCGCAAAGCTTGTTTCTCTTACTAAAATTGTTCGATTCGATACTGGTCAGTGGATCGCAAGATACCGCCAAAAAATACAAGTCGCTACAATAACCCCTACCACGTCATAATACCTGGCCCTCCTTAATAAAAATATGTATAATTTTATCTTGAATTTAATTAAAAAGAAAAGAGCTTCTAATTTTCCCTATACTTTATAGCCCTTCCGATGATTCATCTTGTCAAAAGATCTTGCTCATGTGTTTCTAATAAACCACTTTTGTGATAAGAATTTGAGAATTGAATAATCTTACAAGACAATAAAATGGTTGCTATCGTAGAGGCGTTATATTTTACGGGAAAAGACAATTTACATTTTTTTATACCGCGTAAAAATTACAGCATTAATTTATTTAAATGATTGTGTATTTAACTAAGGCTTTAGAAGAGAAACTTAAAAAACATAGTGAAAATCAAATTGTTATGTTTTTTGATCAACTAATACGCACATACTACGTATTAATGTTTAGAAAGTCTTAATACTCTAACTTAAAGGTTTAGTCTATATCGATATTTACTAAGTTAATTATAACTCGCTTAGATTCTTGATGTTAAAGCTGATAAAAAATCAATCAATCATATCTATGTAGTTTGTTATAGGATCATAAAGTATTATATACGGATAGAGATAGTTAATTAATTTTCTTGTTGATATATTGCGAGCTTTCTTTAATTGCGAATGTAATTTTTCTAACCAGTTTGGTTGATTTTCTATAAATGTTTCAATATTAAAGTTGTCTTTGGTTTCAATATTATTTTTTACTAAAGCATAATATGTACAGTATGTAAATAAATATTATTTAATATACGAATTGATATAATGATTACCGTATCGATTAACGTAACCTGCCCCAGATTTTCTATGTGCGAGAATCCATAAACATGACGTACATTTTTAATATGCATTAAAAATGGAATCTAACATGACATAAAGACGATGTGTAGCAAACTTGCTGACCAATTCATACAAATCAATCTTTACGAACTAATTAGAGACAATATTTTAGATCATACATTTTTTTCTTCATTATTTTACGAGAAAACATGAATGAAATAACTAGCAGGATCGTCGAACAAGAAAATGATGATGATGATATTTATCAAAACGATACGGGTAATAATCGGTTCTTGACAGTTTGTTCCTATTAACGCTATATTAAAAAGTCTTAATAATCGAAATCTACTGTATTTGTTATACTCATATGCGGTGCTTGTTGCTTGTTTCATATATACTATATATATATATATAAAGAAAATAATGAAAATGAAAATTTTGATGTAAATGAGCCTGATCTTTCCCAAGAAGAATGTTGGGCAGTAATATCGTCCTTTTTTGAGTATCGTGGAATTGTTCGGCAACAATTGGCTTCTTATGATCACTTTGTAGATTATGATGTACATGATGTTATAGAGGCAAATCGTGAAGTTATTTTGCAACATGTTGAAGACCGAAACGATCAAGAAGCTCAAATTGTAAATAATTAAAAGTCTAGAATTTTCTTTGAATTATGTTCGTGGAACTTATGAAGGTTCCATTTTCCAATATGGAATTTCATTTCGAGATATGAAATTTCAAAGAAAAATACTACATATCTATAAATAATTAGCTATATGACAATAATTTTATTTTATTTCTATCTTATAGAGACGAATCAGGATAACGTTTTCAAATCCTGCCGTTTCTGTAGCAACTCACACCGAAGCTGACGGATCTGTAAATAGGATATGGCCGCATGAAGCGCGTTTGAGAAATCTAACGTGAGACATACATAATTTGGGCTACTTCAACTTTTTGATATATAAATTAAAAAAATTGCATTTAATATTAAATATTGAATAACATTATTTTTTCAGTTACTCTTGCCCAGTTTATGTTGATGTAAGTTGTGCAACGGCTGTCGTCCCTTGGAATGAAGCAACATCCAACACGTTTCATGAATTATGTGATGAGAACGAGACTATTTTAACGCAGACAGCTTTCATCGGAAAGGCACATATTAACAAAAAGTTTTGACTCTTTTACAATTTAAATAAATGAGTAGAATTATTAAATTGATAATTTTAATATTAGATTCCTGTGATGATTCGGTCCAAACATTGTAATTTATATGAAAAAACAGATTACGAAATAGCCAGTTTGCAGGAATGCCCATATGATCAGGTAATTAAAATAAATAATAAATAATTAATACAATTATTAAATCATTTATATTTTAAAGGGTGGCTATTTTATAATCAATGGTTCGGAAAAAGTATTGATCGCTCAAGAAAGATTAGCAGACAACTGCCTTTTTGTTTTCAAGACACCGTCACCTTCAACTCATACTCATACAGCTGAAATAAAAAGTACCAATGAAAAAAGTGATGTAAGAACGGTACAACTTTTATTGATGGAGAGATCTGGTGAAATTGGGGTAAAAATTTTTTCAAAAGATTTATCAAGTCTATAAGTGATTATTCAAAGACTTGCTACAGATTATTTTATGTTTATTTTGTACTTATGCTTATTTTGTATTTATGCTTATTTTGTATTTAGATTACGGGTCATTTTATACACGCAAGAATACCTTTCGTCAAGAAGGAGATTCCGATAAAAGTTCTTTTTTTTGCACTCGGCGTCACCAATGAACAGGACATTATGTCCCGCATTTGCCTTGGTGTACGCAACCATGATTTAGAAGAAGCGGTGAAAACTTGTTTCGAAGAAGCATTTGCGATCCAATCTCGAATTGTAAGTGCTAAAAATACATAGTCTATTTAGTATTTTAAATGAATAGTATAGTTTAGCATAAATATTTTACAATTAACAGGTGGCATTGGACTATATTGGTCGCAGGGCAAGTTCATCTGGTGCTGGTCAAGAAAGACGAGTGGAGTATGTATGAGATCATCTTTATGATATTTATTTTCACGGATGGTTAATTAGTTCGATTTTCATGAAATAGGCACGCCAAACTGCTTATGCAAAAAGAATTCCTACCTCATATTGGAACAGAGCCTGGAAGTTTAAAACGAAAATCCTATTATTTAGGTTACATGATACATAGGCTTTTACTCTGCGCTGTTGGAAGTAGACAATTAGATGATCGAGACCATTTAGGAAAAAAAAGGCTAGATACGGCTGGTACTCTTTTACGTAATTTATTTTCAACTGTCTATAAAAAAATGATTAGAGAGATGACCGAACACATTAAAAAGGTTATTTTAACTTTTAATATTGTCATTCATTTTGAAAATATATCATAATTTTTTTTGGTGTCATTTTTCAGGTCTTGGCAAATAAACGTGAATTTAACATAACTATGGCAATTAAGCCACAAACGATTACCAATGGTTTAAGGTATTCGATGGGGACCGGCAATTGGGGTGACCAAAAAAAGTCGATGCAGGTATAATATTTAATAATTCACATTTGTTTTTCCGCGAAATAGAGAAATCTTTACATTTATATTGTATCTTTTGTAGTCTAAGTCGGGGGTTTCTCAAGTATTAAATCGATATTCTTACTCATCGACCTTGTCCCATCTCAGAAGATGCAATGCTCCAATTGATCGCGATGGCAAAGTTACGAAGCCGCGTCAACTTCACAATACACATTGGGGATTCATATGCCCCGCTGAAACCCCTGAAGGACAAGCGTGTGGTCTAATGAAAAACTTCTCTTTAATGTCATATATTTCTGTTGGAGAGTCTTCAAAATTATTAATTGATCATATTAATGAAACTGGCACGTTACAAGTTTTCTCACAAACTGATGATATTCTTCAAGACATATGTACTAAGACAAAAGTCATCTTAAATGGTAATTGGATTGGGGTAACACGTTCTCCTGATGATATAGTCATTTCATTAAAAGAAGCGAAGAAAGCATTCTGTGAGGATATTAGTATAGTAAATGACGTTAGTGACAAGGAATTAAGGGTATATTGTGATCCTGGACGAGTTTGTAGACCATTGTTCACAGTTCATGATGCTCGGTTGGTGATAAAACCTGAGCATATTCGAAAGCTCGATCGCACAGTAAGTGTTTTTTAATAAAGTGGACTAAAAAATTCGAATCATTAAATTATGATTGGTTTTTAGAGGTCAGAACAATTGGATGATGATCACGAAGATTACCTTGATTGGGACCATTTGATCCAAGAAGGATGCATTGAATATCTTGATGCTGAAGAAGAAGAAGTATCATTGATTTGTATGACACCAGAAGATTTAGTAGAAGCAAGAAATAAATGGAGTTATGCATATATGGATATGCCACCTCCACCAATGAAAAAACGCGGTTTATTTGAAAGAATGAAGACTACACCAGCTTTCACAAATAGATGGACTCACTGCGAAATCCACCCAAGTATGGTTTTAGGAATATGCGCCAGTCTTATTCCATTTCCAGATCATAATCAGGTATTTTCTCTGAAAATCAAGTTATTTTTTATTATTATTTTTGTTTTGCTAAACTTTTCTTATTTCTTCAGTCACCCCGTAATACTTATCAATCAGCTATGGGAAAGCAAGCTATGGGTATACATGCAACTAATTATCAATTAAGGATGGATATCACATCAAACATTCTATACTATCCACAAAAGCCGTTAGTGACGACTAAAGTTATGGAATATCTTAAATTCCGAGAAATGCCTGCTGGGCAAAATGCCATTGTTGCTATTCTTTGTTATGGAGGATATAACCAAGAAGATTCAATTATCATGAACCAAAGCGGTATAGACAGAGGATTGTTTAGGAGTTTTACATTTAGAAATTATCAAGACTCTGAAAAAAGAATGGTATGTATGAAAAATATTTAAAATTATTTTTGATCAATTATTCAATAAATTTTTATTTTATGCAGGGTGTTTTGGCTGTTGAAACTATTGAAAGGCCAGATCCACAGTATACAATAGGCCTGAAGCATGGAAGTTATCATAAACTTGGAGAAGACGGTGTTGTTGTCCCAGGGATAGCAGTATCAGGAGGCGACATTTTGATTGGAAAAGTAACGCCACTCCCACCCGACGTTGCTATGCTAGGTCAGAGATCTGATACACAGATTAATCGTGACATATCTACTATGTTGAGATATGCAGAAATTGGGTACGTTGATCAAGTATTAATTGGCTCAAATCAAGAGAATTCGAAATTTGCAAAGGTTAGGATTCGAAGTACACGAATTCCCGAGATTGGAGGTATACGCATTCATCTAAGCATTAATTATCAAATATATTGTCATTATTGAATAATATTCGTAACAACTTTTTAAATAACATTGATCGTTACAGACAAGTTTGCCAGTAGACATGGACAAAAAGGCACTATTGGTATGACTTATCGTCAGGAAGATATGCCTTTCACTCGTGAGGGAGTAATTCCCGATATCATAATAAACCCACATGCCATTCCAAGTCGAATGACGATTGGGCATTTAATCGAATGCTTGATGGGAAAGGTAGTTAATTATATCATATACATGCACATTTTTATATTCATAAAGGATCAATCGCGGTAATCAACAGTTAATGTTTCTTCAATAAATAGCTCTCGGTTTTAACTGGTAACGAAGGTGATGCAACACCATTTACCGATGTAACTGTTGAAGACCTCTCAAAAAATTTGAGAGAGCAAGGTTATCATTCTCGCGGGTTGGAAGTTATGTATAATGGCCATACTGGAAGAAAATTGGTTGCACAAGTCTTCGTTGGTCCAACATATTACCAACGACTGAAGCATATGGTGCACGATAAAATACAGTATGTATTAATTAAAGAGTTAGCTGTAACACACCCACACATGATCGACCAATCAGATCATAAGATCATATGTAACATAAAAATAGCAATATTTTAAAAAAATCGCCGCTTGTCATGTTTAACAAAAAGAAAATTCCTTACCAAATTTTGTGTGAGAACCTTTTGCTAAAGCTCTACCAGAACCTATTTATTGTTTTAATTTTATGTTACACCTGATCTTATGAGATGCGTTACAACGCACCTGCTTAAAATGATAAATTCTTAATTGAATATTATTTTCAATAGTTCTCGTGCGCGTGGACCTGTTAACATTTTAACACGTCAGCCAGCCGAAGGACGCAATCGTGAAGGAGGATTGCGTTTCGGAGAGATGGAGCGAGATTGTATGATTTCTCATGGCGCTGCGCTATTCTTGAAGGTATATAGTTTTTACATTATTATTCATTGTCATATCATTTTAAAGACGAATTAAATTTTAGAATTTTTTTAACAGGAAAGATTATTTGATGTGTCAGATCCTTTTTATGTTCACGTATGTGACATATGTGGCCTTCCAGCGATTGCAAAACCATCCAAAGGAATTTATGAATGCAAAATTTGCAAGAATTCTGTAATGGTAAGGAATAAACTAATAATGTTCACGATAATCTTTTTAAATAAGTTATTTTTTGTTAAAACTTGTGTATATAGGTTTCCAGAGTTCAAGTTCCATATGCATGCAAGATGTTATTTCAAGAGCTTATGTCCATGAACATTTCTCCGCGTTTGATGTTGACTTGAATTTGCTACTATTTTTATAAGATATTGCTTATGTAATTTAACGAAAATGTATAAATCGTTGTTTGTATCGATGTACAGTATGCCCTGATTTATGAAAATCAACGACATTCATTTAAAACGGTGGTAATAAAAAAAAAATTTCATTATTAAGGTCTTTGATTGAATTACTCTAAATTGAAATGCATACCGATATTTATTTGCTTGGTCTATTAGGGATTCGCCCACAATTAACTTACATATTTCTTATTTAATCACAAATTTCTTCATGTTTAAATGAGAAAAATACAAGCTTTGCAAAACCCTATTAGAGTTTTAGGGGTAGAACCTTCTGATTCGGCTCAATTATGTTAAAAATCAAATAGAAAATTTTTGCAAGTCTTTGTAGTATAATGTTTATTGCAATTATGATTTTACACTAAGGGTATTCTATTCCCTTGTCTTTCTAACTAAATGTCGCATAAACCAGAATATAAAGAACATTAGTTCCTTAAATTTGCCATAATTTTTTTTACTAATTTTCTAAATAAAAAATATCATATAAATAAGGAGCAACTAGACTTAATAAATATTTAATAAATTAATCATATTCTAAAAGTTATGCTCTACAAACCACATCCTACATTTCTAGACACCGACTCGGGTTGTTGGACAGTTTCTAGATTGCTGCACGAAACACTCATTTGATTTCCATTTAAAGCGCAATTACCAGAACTTACATTTCCAAAAAGTATAGGTAACACAATTAGGGTCCTCGTAGCAAGATTTACAACAGTCTTCTACAGAAGTTCGTATATGAAACTATCTTTTGCATTATAACAAAAAACTCTTTGTAAAATTTTGGTATAAATATTTTTTAAAGCTACTTGAACTTTAACACTATACTTGACCCTAACCTTAACCTTAGCTTTGTTAACGTTATAACAATAACGATCATTTCCATTCTGGGTGGGGTACATAGACATGCATTAACGATTTGGTCGTTATACATTTGTCCACATAACGATATACTATGCGACAATTCAATATATTGCGCGCTACGATTTTGGATGTGTAGTGATCTTTCTTTACTTAATTAGAAAATAAAATAAAGTTTATTATATTGTACGTATTTTTCGCATCACGTGACCAAGGGATATAAATAAATTTATCACCTTACAAGGCTTATTGTTATGCATAACGTGCCATAAGTACCCAACCGTCAATCATCTCATGGTACATTCTATAGAATTTCAAAGTTGATGGAAAACGTATAAAAAGGACAGTATAGCAAAGCTATGATAATTTGTCGCTTACTAGTGATTGTCATCTGTGCATTAACCGAATTGATCTTTTTTCAAAACGCAATAATCATGAAAAACACTTTATATGATAATCTTTATAATTTTTAATTGAAGCTCCTGAGACACAAATTACAGCCATCTCTCTCGTTTACCGGGCATTAGGCGATAAACCACAAATAGAAAAGGAAGACTTAAGGGTAGTGTAACTTCGTCGGCGCAAATGGAATGCGAAATAGATTCTGACCGATACAGGAGAATTTTGAAGATACTTGATCAGGTACAGTATGTTTTTTCAAAGAAAACGAAATTTGAGAGTAGAGCAAGATGATGAGAAGTGCATACCGAGTGGGAATAAATAAGTTAAATGCTAGTTTGGAGCCAATAGATGCCATAGCCATGCAAGAACTGGACTCTAATCCACAGACGCATTGGAGGCGTTTTTGGTTTCACTTATGCGCAAAATTTTTTATTCTTATGGGCGTTCGAACGTTGAAATAAAATTAATAATATGGCCATTATCAAATTTAATAATATATCTACATTTTTTTTAGTTTGATGATGCATTTGAGGGATTTCGTAGCATACACGAAATGGAGGCAGAGATAAAACCTTTAAGTGATGATGAAATTAGAACAAATTTAAGAGAGTTAAAAAGCCGTCTTGCGGTAAATATTTTTAATAACCAAAATACAAATTATATTCAGCTCTTAACTTGAAGCTTTATGCTTTTAGAAAAGCAAGGCCATCCATGCTATACACTTACGGGAGAGCTTAAAAGGTGTTACTGAGGAAGTTGTGAGTTGGAAAGATCCACTTGGAAGTCGAGTGATTATGGTTCACGTCACCTATACTCATCAAAAAATATAGATCATTCCGAAATTTTTATCTGATTTGGTCACATGTCTTGCTTATTATTGATCAAAAATTCATGTCACCTAAGAAATTTTTATATTTATTCCGAAATTTGAGGAAATTAATTAACTTTAACCTTTAATACTTTACAAATTAACAAATTACAGAAAAAAAATAAGCCATAAATCTGAAAGAGCAGTATCGAATTTATTATTTTGACGGTTTATATTTTTAATATCACTTAAATTAAAAGACAAGAAGCTATTTGAATTTATATGAATTTTCTTTGATGACTATAAGTGACGTGACCATAGTGATAGAACTGAGATGGTGCCCAGTTGCCCCCGACAACCCTAGCATTCCCCGAAAAAATGTAGGAAGACTGTAGTAAAATTTTTTTATTTGTATTCCATATATAATATAATTAAAATAAAAAGAAAAGTTCATTAAATTTGGTTTAGTAGTTGTCGAGAAATTATCACGAAAGTTTTAAAAAAACTCTAAAAATCTTGAAAAAACTAAAATCGGGTAATTTTTTCTTTTTTGAACTTTAAACGATGTTTTCTCGACAACCAAGTATCCAAATTTGATGAAATTTTTTTTTTTTAATTCTGTGGTTTAATAGAATTAAAATAAAAAAATTGATCGAATTTGAATAGCAGGTTGTGGGAAATATTCATTAAAAGCTAAAAAAAAGTTTGGCTGCAGCTTCTTTTTTGTAGACGCCTAAACTTTGAACGAATATTACTCGGTGCTTACCCGATCAAATTCGATCAATTTTTTTTTGTTTTAATTCTATGAGTATATAGAATTAAAATAAAAAAAATTGGTCGAATTTGACCAGGTAAGTAATCTTCGTTCAAAGTTTAGGCGCCTATAAAAAAAACCCGCAGTCAAGTTTTTTTTTTAGCCTTTAATGTAATTCGAATACTTGGTTGTTGGGAAATCTTCATTTAAATTTAAATAAAAATTTTGTTGCAACATAAATTTTTTTAAAAAGCTTTGAACGATGATTTCTTAACAACCAACTATCCAAACTTTTTTATTTAATTCTAGGATTTCGTAGAATTAAAATAATTGGTTGGTTGTCGAGAGATATTCATTAAAAGTTAAAAAAAAATTTGGCCGCAGTTTTTTTTATGGGCGTCTAAACTTTGAACGAAGATTACTCGGCACTTACCTGGTCAAATTCGATCAATTTTTTTTTTATTTTAATTTTATGCGCTCATAGAATTAAAATAAATAAATTTTCATTGTATTTGACTATTTAAGTGCCGAGTAATCTTCGTTCAAAGGTTTGATGTCTTTAAAAAAGAAGCTACGGCCAAACTTTTTTTTAGCTTTTAATGAATATTTTTTGACGACTTGCTATTCAAACTCGTTCAAATTATTTTATTTAATTCTATGAAATCACATACTTAGTTGTTGAGGAAAGATTTACCCGATTTGTTTTTTAAGATTTTCAGAGTTTTTTTAAAAGTTTCATGATGATTTCTCGACGACTACCGAACTAAATTTAATGAATGTTTTTTTATTTTAATTCTAGTATACTATGAAATAAAAATAAGAAAAGATTTACTAAACTAAATCAAGTAGTTATCGAGGAATCATCGCTAGAAGTTTTAAAAAACTTCCGAGTTGCATTGTTATGAATCATCGTTTGTGTAATATGATCCTACATTTTTTCGGGGGAATGCTAGAGTTTATGCGGCGATTTACGGTTTATTGACTATTTTATTATAATTCGGATTTTTTATAAAAATGCTAAATAAAAGCGTAAAATTCTAAAGTTTTCACACAATATTGTACTTATTTACTTAATTTCTCTCAAATGAAGACGTTATGCCAGAACTATGTTGGTTTTTTTTTTTTGTAAAATCTAATTAAATTTTAATAATGAAATGAAATTTAGAATATTCTGCAAGGCGAATGCCCAAAACTTACATGTTAATAGAGAATTTTAAAACAGCTTTATTTTTAGATATATATTTTATAATCATGTGTGAAAGTTGTCGTGACCATTTTCTTATTTTATCAATGTTAATGCGTACGTACATCACTTAATAATGTTAACTCTAAGTGGAAGTAATATAGATCATATGAATAATTTGTTTACCGTTACGTATTATTACATATTACATATTTTCACATTTTGTGTAACAGAAAATAGATATAAATAATAAGTAAATCCTCTCATCAATTCGAAAAATGTCGTTTGATATATTTTGGGAAAAGTTAGATAAAGATTTGGCTAACAAAGTTCAAGATTTATTGAATGAATACTTTCGCAATGTAGATAATAAACCTTCATTTATTGGAGATATAGAAATTTCAGATTTTTGTTTTGGTACTATACCTCCTTCAATAGAAATAGTTAATATCACAGATCCTTTTTTAGAGTTTTATGTACCTGATAGTGAAGTTGTCGGTATAGAATTTAGAATTGCTAATGATAGTTTTGAACATTTACAAACCGAATTTCCCAATAATTCTTCACTTGACAATAATAGTACGCATTTAACGGATGATACATCCGTAAATAGTTCATTTTTAACTGATGATACTTCAGTACAATCAGATGAATTAACAGATGAATCCGAAGTTCCAATGAAACAAGACACTGATGCTCAAATACATATAAATATAGATTATAAAGGAGATATGAGGATGACTATTACGACTGAATTGCACCTAAATTATCCTAGTATGATGTTTATGAGTCTACCAATTAGATTAACTGTTACTGGATTTGAATTTTCCGGTGACTTCAATAATTATTTTTAAGACGGGTTAGTTGAAATATTTAATATTTATTTAACTCAAATTGTAAATTCTAGCTATGGCTGTAATAGCTAGCCTAAGACACCGTTTCAATTTTTGCTTCTTGGCACCGAAGGACCCTGAAGAAAGGTAAGATTTTTACGATAACTTTTCATAATTTATATTTCTCATGTTTATTGTAAATTAATATAATTTTATAATAGTATTCTGAAGGATGTTCATATTGAATCTGAGATCGGAGATAAGGAGAAACAAGGTATTTAATTATTGTATCAACGTTTATGACAATTTTCTTTTTTTTTTTTCTTTGTTGTATTAATCAAATTTTATATTAATTTCGTGAACAGTTCTTAAAAATGTTGAAAAATTGGAACGTTTCATAGTTGACCAATTAAGAAAATTAATTGATGATGACTTAGTATTTCCTAGTTATTATTCAATTGAATTGTAAATTCGTGCTTTGATGATAATAGGTATTAATTGTAAAATTTTGAATAATATTAAGTGCTTTTATTATAATTACAATAAATTAATTATATTTTCTTTTAAAGCATTTTATTTATAATGATCCACAAAATTAATAAAATTCATTGTTAATTATATATCAAGCTTCTATTAATAATTCATTGACCATCCATAGACGTTTTTATCGTTTTTATCTCTGTTGCTAATGGTGGTACTGTCAACCTTCGTAGTATCGCTAATCAAAACAAAACAATCAATTTAATATTATTAATTATGATAAGAATTAAATATTATATTTCTGGGAGTGTATAAACTTACTATTCAATACGTAAGCAGTTAATCCCCAAATTTCTACTCCTACCAAAGCAGAAGCTTGGAATACCTGAATAAGGTGGTAATGGAAATTTGTAAATATAGTAATTAGGGATCTGCAATCACGGCATGTATAAGATCGTTAAGCACTTGTAGACGCGAACACAAAGTTCAGGCACATGTTGGATACTTTCTTGTTATCTGGCATGATTTGACGGATACATGGGTATCGGCAGGATAATAGCAAAAGCACGTGGCCGAAGGCCTCGTGCATTGAAATTATGCTGCCGATGTCCATGATCCGTATATCATGCTAGATAGCTTGTGTTATAAGCATAGAGATCTAGTCAAAATTACTAGGTACTAGCGCCTGTAACTTAACATGCGTGCCTACAAAAGTCTGGAACTTTCGTCGTCAGGTATGATACCAATATTCTCGGCATGTGCATTTACAGATCTCTAATGATAATGTATTCTAAAATTATGATATCTATTATAAAAATCTTTAACCTACCGGATACATTAATTCAGTATTTCCTAGCTTCCTCCATTGTTTCTTTTCCGAATTCAATAATTCCTCAATTGTTACAGTGAAAACTCCCTGAACTTCTTCCTTGTTAAAATTAATCTCATCTATAATATTTTCGAAAGGAGTTTTAATAATCCCGATAAATGGATAAACTTTTAAGGTTTGATCTTTATTCAGTAATGGTGCTGACTGTCCCAATATGTCGATATCTTCGGGTCGGATGCCAATTTCTTCATTAGTCTCACGGAGAGCCGTAAACGAGAGCGAAGGGTCTAAGATTTCTTTTTTCCCACCAGGGAAACTTATATATTAAATCATTATAAATCATTTAAGTAATTAAATTATTAAGCTATTAAAAAATATTTAATCAAAAAACAATAAATAAATAAATAAATAAGTAAATTTACCTAACTTCTCCCTGATGTGTTTTTAGATTGGCACTTCTTATCGTGAATAAAACGCTTGGTTCATCTTGTACAACACAGAATGGCTTTTTGGTTCATATAAAAAATAATACGCGTATGAGAACGTGTTATAAATCACGCATTAGAGGTCTGCAAGCTGGGCTCATGCCCGTGCCTAACAAAAAAGCATAGATGCAAAAATTTGGCACGGGCTGGCATTGATATGAGCACAGATAAAAATTTGGCCAACAAGAACTTTTGTTAAGTATGGATGTAAAAATGCGAGGCACTAGCTGGCACTTTAGTGCCTGGGCACCTGGTGCCCGTGCTCTTAATAGTTTCTGACATTCTGTGCCTGTGCCCATAATGTGTCTGACAATTTTGTATCAAAGCACTAGTGCCTGGCCTGGTGCCAATGTGCCTGTCGTGGGCATTTGCAGAACCCTATCACGCACATATTAAAAAAGTAAAAATTTCGAACCACCAAAATAGCCGCATCATTAACAACTTTTCTTGTATCATATTTATATTTTATATGACTTTTACCAAGAGAATTTTTTAACCGTTCACGTATTAGTTCTATGGTCTTTTCGTCAAAGGTTTGTATCGGCCTCATGGAAGAGGATACGGTTGGATAGATGGTTGTTTTACTTGAAGCATTAAAAAATCTCAAGCCATATTGTGCCTTCAACAAAAATTGTGAAATAGGGATAGAGTTTTTGCTTGCATTCCTGAAATTTAGCATTGAGTTAAAGTATTTGGTCGAAGTCAATAAAGATTTTAACATTTTTCGGCCAAATATTTGTTCGTTTTTAGAATGGTTTAAAAAAGACAAAAAAAAAGAAAGGATTATAGTGAGTCAAAGTCGAATAAGAATTTTTGACTTTTTTTGATGATTTTTTAGAGAATGCGAAGAAAAAAAATTTATACGATTAAAGTTGTTTGAGTGAAATATTGACGTTATTTAAATTAACACGTGGAAGTGCCAATGATATAGGACTTATTAGGAAATTAAGTATTTTTTTTATGCATTGAAGGTATCTGTGTTCGCTGTTTTTAAAATTATAATGCTGTAATGCAAAGAAATAAAACACCAAACCAACATAAATTGTTGCAACAAACTTTTATGTAACACATTAATATCATTTTATTATGAAATGTCTGAATTTAGATACAAGCAATATAGTTTATTAATTTGACATTTTTTTACCATTTTTATCTATTAAAAGTATGATACATACGCATCATTGCAAAACGAAAATAGCCACGTTTCCATAAAACTGACGTATGTTATTATTCTATTCCGCGCGAAAAACGCATAATTTTAACTACATCTAACCAAGAAAAAATAATACTGATTTTACTGTTTTTGATCGATAATACTCTTTTCAATTCAATAAACTATATAATTTGAAGTCGTTTAACTATTTCTAATATCTTTTATATATTATAATATTTGCATTAATATTATTTAAAATTAATCTAATAATTATAAGTCATCGTATAATGGGTAAAAAAATATTGGTACGGTAGTACGAGTATAGTTCAGTGGATGAATCAAATATCTTTCAGGTGTTTCGGGGCCGCGGTCGTGGCCCCAAAACACCTGTAAGATATTTGATTCATCCACTGGTCTATACCATACTATCGTGTCGATTTTTCTTACCCCATAAGATAACGTTATTATCGTCCGGCAATTGTTACTACCATATAATAAAAACTCGAAGGTCTTTAAGTAGTTTTGTATGTAAAAAAAGTTTTAAAGTTATCAGTTATTTACAGTATTATTTGTTTAAAACTGAACAAAGTTCTGTGATGATAACTAGTAAAAATTTTTTAAAAATAAATTGTAATGATGATATAGTGCTAGTAGTTATAAAAATAATAATTAATTTTAAATTGCATTAAATTTTTATTTTTAAAAACTATAATATTTAGCAAATTTATAGAACTTATTATAAGAACAAAGATACTAGTTAAATTGTTAAAATTTTGATTTTGTAAAAATTTATACTATGGTATTTTAAAATGTACTGTAGATTATATTATTAATATTGTAGTGATATACTACTGTATGGGAAATTTTACTACTAAGCAAATTTCTCTTCTACTTCTAATAAAAATTATAGAGGAGAGAATCTCGGTCATAATGGCGGTTAAAACATTAATCGGTTCAGTAGTTCGCGAGACATAAGCATTTTTGTCTTCGTGACTATATGTAGTAAACAAAGTAAATATACTGTATAATCGCGAAGATAAAAATGTTCATATCTCGCGATTCACTGGGCCAATTTTAACGGTTTAACCACCATTTTAACCACCGTTATGATCGGAATTCTCTCCTCAACAACTTTTTTATTAGAAGCAGAAATCGATTTGTCCTTAGAGAAATGCCAGACTCCATGAAAAGGCAAAAATACATAGTAAATATATTCTCTCAGTTTACCATGCGGATCACGAATTAAAATAAAAATTTATTACTGTAATAATATAAAGTATGCTTTTTTATAGAATACTATATCTTTTTTAAACTATATTTTATAAACTTTATAAAAAATTTGAAGTACTGTAGTAAAAGTTTAAAGTTCTTGTTTTAATGTATTTGTAGCCGTACTATCAAAGAATACGGCTACATGTAACCGCGGTTACAAATAAATCCCCCTTTTTTATTTTACTAATTTTCTTTGAACTTTACTTAATTTCATTAATATTAGTGAAAGTTAACAATTTAATATGGAAAGTAATAATATCGCAAATACAAGCACACCGCAGGTTGACTATTTTTCATTACAATACGTAGCGAATAAATTAATTAAATAAAAAAGAATAACGATAATAATAATAAATAAAATTTTAATTGAGTTTACATAATTTTTAGATATTTGTTTGGAATTCACTATCAGAGATTTTAAACCCAATTCTTCCTCAGGATTATACATATTTAATTCAAAAGTTCAATAACTTGTCGCCATACCAAGCAGAAGAGTTTCAAATTTGAGCTAGATACGAGTTCAAGTTGAATCAATCAAACAATGCAAAAGAAAAGAGAGCTCAGACCCTCAAGCTATTCCTGCATAAAAAAGCGAAAGTCAAATAAGAAAGTACACAATTTAAGTAAAAACGTAATTGTATGGTTTTACTTTGAGTTTCATTTTTTATATAGTCACGATTTGTTTTAATCGAAAGCCTACTTTGTGTTATACGCATAATAATTAGTTAAGCTTGAAAACATTATAAGTTTAACGAAAGCATCTTTTATTACAAAACAGAAGGCAGTTTTTAATGCAAAATTGAAGCGTTAAATTTTTTTTTTTTTAAGTTTTAATATGTTAGTCTAGCTTGACGCTAGGGGTGCAGGCGGACAATTAATTGATTATCATCGGCGTAATCTGTCACAGATTCAGTCGTGCCTTTGCTACCTATCACATTTCCTATAAGAGTCATTGCTCATTAAAAACTGTTTGCTGGATATTAAACAAATCGATAACTACGTCCTCCGAAAGCGGATATGGTAAAGTACAGCTAGAGATTGGAATCGTTTAACCGTTTAAAAATTGCTCCATAGTTCCTGGCAGAATTATGTTGGTCGTGGGCAAGAATTATTTTAATGCCGGCCAAATTAAACGATTAAACGATCAAACGATCAAACGATTAAGAAAAATTTTAGGCGATTCCAATCTATAAGTACAGCCTTCAAAAACACATGCTGGTGTGATTGTCACTATACACATTCCTGGAGCTGTGCAACTATTATACGGTATATCATATCTATCGATGGTTCCAAATTTGAGCTATAAAAATAGATATTATATAAAGAAATATTGTAAGACGAGATGAACAACAATATAAAATGTACAGTTTCATACCATTTGAACTGGTTGGAACTTTCCTTGTGTTTGCCCTGCTTGAAGGCTTGCATGACGACAAAACTTATAGCACTATCAAGAATAAAAGTCATTAGATTAATTAATAGATAAAAATAAAGTAAACTTATAAATAATACTAAACTGTTAAGCGACGCAAAGGACGCCCATTCGTATCTCTCCTGTTATTCCATGACCACAGTTTGAGCATGATCACATCCTCTGACCGATTTGGGGCCAACCAGAATGAATTGACCTTCTGGAGTATATGTGGAAGACTTTGGGATCGGGCAACTTCACAGACAACAGTTGGCCAAGGATTACCCTGTGTACCAAGATTGAGATTCGTATATCAGTATTATAAAATTTAAGAACAGAAATCATAGCGATAGAGAATTATAAATTATAATTATCCAATCACTGTTAAGGTAGCAAATAGAAAATCTGGGACAGGTTATGTTAACTCCGATTAGCAAATTAATAATCTTCATTATATGATAAAAAAACTACTGAAAACTCAAATTAATTATATTCGGAAAATTGCGGCCCTTTATTAAGCGTGAATAATATTTTATTTACATATAATACTGTAGTAAAAATGTATATAATAAATAAAAAGAAAATTGGCCAAAGACAAAAATAAGAATTATTTTTTGACGACAGCACCTACTAACAAACTCGTAAAGAATACATGTACATAAAAAAAAAAGACCGTTAAAATAATGCAAAATGATAACAAGAAAATAAGTTATATTTCTGTATTTTTAGACCAAATTCTGTACAATACAAAAATTTTATGATATGTTTTTCGAAACTTATATTAAACGTTAAATATTATTATTGTTATTTTCTATTTGCCTTTAATTAAACTTTCTGCGTTTATAGAATTAAAAAATGTTAAATGTTAAATATTACGGGAGAAATTAAATCGCATGATTATTTGATTGTAATTTATTTAATATTGTGATTGTTTAAAGATACAAATTAATAACTTATTTTATATAATTTTATTATATCACCTAATTTTTAATGATCACAATATTTTCATGAAAAATTTTCTTCAATATGTATAGTTTTTAATACTGTATTGCTAATTGGCTAAAAAAAAACCAATTGGGATAATCATTTATTGCGGTTTGCAAAATTTGCAGATCAAAAAAGAAAAGAAATCGATGATTTCTGATTTCTGATTGCCGATTTTTTTAACATTACTTCTGATGACGTATGTATATCAACTAATA